TAATGCTTACTTTCCGCTACACAGAGCGCGGGTTCGCATCGAGCTGCAGCTGCCTGGAACCGCTTGCCATCGCACGTCTGTCATACCAGAACGCTGAGCGTGGTTAAGACCGACGTGCGCGATATAGTTTTAACCACTGATCACTGATCTGATCCGGCCCACAGCGTGTTGATAGGTCTATCTTAGCTCTTTGTTCGTATCAATTTATTTTATGCCTTTTGTATGTACTTTTCATCCTGCACCTGTATGACCTGAAACTGTAATAGCCAACAGGTAAATAGTTTCCAATTTACTGATGCGTTAATGAGCGTTACGAAACATTTCTGAATGATTGACGTTGAACTGTGTGATACGACGTGGGGTTGTAAAGAAAATAATTTTGTGGAACAATACCAAATCGTTTTTGGCAACGCAGTGCAACACCACGCCCATAAACCACGCTCCACACCTATACTCCTCCGAAAGTGAGGTTTGGATCCGAAGCAAGCTATCGATTTGAATGGTGTTCAATTTCACAAGGTAATTGTACACTTAGTCCACTTTTTGCAAGAACCTAATATCCCAGGCTATGTCTGGGTCTGGACTGTGGCATTTCGGAAGGCTGTACGACAACGCTTAGCTGCTGGTGTTACACGTACCTGTACGGCTAATTTGACGTGGCCAATGCCAGTTGAAGAACGCGTGTGGACCCATAATTGTCACGATGCAGGGATTTTGGGTGTCTACAGCATCTCCAGGCTCAAGGAAATTCGTCGAATTTTAATATCCTTGTTCGCCCTAACATTACTCCTTCATTACGAATGTTCACAAAAAATTTGCTCGGAACAATTTTTTGTGCCTACTAGCTCCGACATTGCTGTTTGTTTAGACGGACTGTATCAACTTGGTAGTGTTTGTTTCCAGGCATTATGGTTGACCTCACTTCTGTTTTTTTTTAGATAAATATGAGTGTCATACGGGATGCAGCTGTTTTCTGGCATAAAGCTATTCGATATGATACGGTAATGACATTTATTATGATATAACCCTTTGAAATTTCCGGCCTCGGAGTCATATTCTCCCACCAAAAAAGACTGAAAACACTCACCGTTTTCCATCAGCACGCTGCGTTGCACCCTGCCCAGTCGCTGATATCAGTCTCGTTCCCGAAGTGCGCTACAGTGCGTACAGAGCTGCTCGCCATGCCGTGATGTGGTGTCGCACTGGGAACTAACCTTCGGCGACGGAGAGAGAGGTTTCAGTGATTGCCCTGATGCTTGCTTCCAGGTGCCAGCCTTAGCCCCCGCGCAAAGCAGCACCAGGGCCAAGTAAACTTGCACCTCAGGACCTGCGCTGTCACCGGCTGGTTACCGCTCATTGACCTGTGTTAGTACTTCTGCGTTGGCAGCGCTAGTCCAGCTGGTAACATGGGTGTTGGCCACGATTTGGTGGGAGTGGCTTCAGTCCTGCTCGTTTACCGCGAGCGCCTTCAGTCCTGCTCGTTTACCGCATCGGACTTCCACGAGCAGCGCTGGAGACAGCGATGGGCCTCTGCCCCGAAGCACCGGTAGTATGATCAGGAACCGTCTACATCCGACGAAGGACGGCGTTATCTCGACGTGAAACGTGGTCGACGATGCCAACCAGCTGTGGCCGCGACCACATGTGACCGGCTCATGGCTGCTTCTGATCGCCGACTCGATGCCTCCCGTCCGCTAGCCACGACTGTCCGGCTGACCGGCGGACAGCAGCGACGGGAGCTGTGACCCGGCTGCGACCCAGACTGTGACACCGAGAGGGCGGCGACGGTGGCGGCGACGCGTACAGCCTCGAGGAAATGATCCACCGCCTGAGTCAGATCTTCCAAGGACGTTGGCTCTGGCAGCAGGGCTAAAGCTGCTCGGGCCGTCTGGGGAAGCCGCTGTAGAGGCAGTGTTCCCAAAAGCCCGCTGTCTGACGAGGCATCACCGGCGACCAGCAGCCCACGCATGCGACGTGGGAAGCTCGGATGAGGGCTGGCCTCCGAGGTGCTGATGGTGCAGGAGCACTCTGGTGAGAGGGGCACACTGGGTAACAATGAGGCGTTCATTTGAATAGAGCCCATTCATCTTTCCCAGCTTGTTGTTAAATGTAGAACATCCATTTTAGATTGACAGCTATGTGTATAAACGTAAAAAGCCACTCCTCCGGCTCAGCATCTACCTCGGCATCCGGCTCGGCATCAGGCTCAGCATCTGGCTCAGCACCAGGCTCAGCTCTCCTGCTCAAGACCTAGCTCAGCATCCGGCTCGGCTCTCTGGCGCAGCATCCGTCTCAGCACCCAGCTCAGCATCGGATCAGCTCGGCTCACCCAGAACTGATCCATTTTGCATTGTGCCAGATGCTTATTCACATCAGCAGTAAGATTCACGACAGAAGGGACTGCATGTCACGCTAAGAGGCTGCTTCGTTGATATGCTTAGCCCGAAAACGCCACTAAAGCCATGCAATAGACGCAAGATGTAGCACTCAGAACGCATTTCTTTGAACAGAATTCGTCCCGCGGACGAAAAGTGAACACATAGCCCATCTGGTCCGCTTTCGTTCTGGGAGCTTTTCGTGGGGTGGTTTGGGGTTTATTCCACCATGGGGATAATTTTTTTGCCTAGCGTAGGTATTGTGAGCCTACGCAGCAGCGAGAGAAGCCATGATCTCTCACTTCTCGTCATACATAAATCCAACAATGATGCATGAAAAGGATTTGCTTAAACAAGATGTTTAGCCATACCGTTTTTCGAGACGGTTCTTCCATACTATTGACGTCCAAGCATGAATCTCAAACGTGCTCACCTAACACAGTGACAAGTTAATTTCATACTCATCTTCGTCGCATTAATGGCTTGCTTTTAGGAGGAAGGCACGCTACATTTAAAGGAATGAGAAACAACTGGTGGATTTCAAAATAATGTCCGTGTGGCCAGCGCAACTTACCGAAGAAAAGGGACGATGCCAGCGCCACTTTGTGCATGCATCGCAAACTCCGAATATAGGTGGCGGCACAATCGAAGGAAACCATCCGCAATTACTTGGCTCGTTCTTCCGAGGGTCATTTAAGCTCGGAAAACGGATTGCACCCAACACTGGGATAAGCTGACCCTTGATAAATGCTGTCACAAAAGCAAATGATCTGTTGCAAAACTAGCTATTGCTTTACCACGATGACGTTTTGCGGAACATAACAGCTTATTAACAGCAGATAACAGCATAGTCGCATAACAGCGTAACAGTACGCTTATTGAAAAGCTAATCTACACGACGTTTTGTCATGAAAGGATGGCTCATGCGCCAAAGAGACAGCACTCCCGAATTTATTTTTAAAAATCATAAAGACAGGCAGCGTCTTCACACACGTTTCTGTTGCAAACGAACAGCACGAGAACTGTGGGCATGTAGCTTTCAGCAATTATACGAGTAAGCAGCGCATGATGATAAAGATACGCAGATGTAATCAATGTCACACGGTGATGCACATTTCAAATATTACATCACATATTATGAAATGATTGAGCGCATCAGTGCATGTCACATATACGTATACAGGTGAGGTGCGAAGCTAAATGGAGTTTAGCAGCATCTGCTAGGTGAGGTCAAAGACCTCGACACTAAACGACAAACGCGGCGACGGGATTTCACTTTGCATGTTGATGTACGCACCTGTCTAAGCTTTTAACCATGCTTTTCAAGGACGTAGTGCTGGATAACATCAACAATGAAAGCAGTCTTAAAGTAATGCCGACACGTCTGTAAAACGTGCAATGCCGTCACCAAAACAAACGTGATAAGTAAACGCTGTGTGTCGGTGCATCATATGCACAGTCCTCCCGGTTTTGTAGATGAGAGTAAACAACAAAATAAGAAAATGTTCTTTTGACTCTTAATTGCAAATGCCAACGTTAAAATATGACCGCACGAAACAGTGGTTTGAAAAGAGAAAACATACAACGGGTGCGGGCACGTAACTAACTCATGGCCGTCTCTCGTTTGAATCAAAATAAAATACCACTTTAAGATCGCCAGTTGACGTCATCTGATCTGAACTGAAACCAGATGGCAAGGTTTCAAATTTGTATATCATTTTGCTTAAATACTTGACTCCCTCTGCAAGCTCGTCGTGCCACAAAAAAACAACCCAGGACCGAGCACCGTTTGCCAAGAAATACGAAATGGCGAGGGAACGTCACCATCAAGTTAACAAAAGGTACAACCGGAAGCGTTTCGCTTCTGCTTCGTGTCTTATCAAAAGCTAGAATTAGAGATCAACTCAGTGACTTGCGTCAGTGACTTGCGATGCACTTTGGATTAACAATGTAGCTTAAAGATGAGAACGGCACCGTCAGATCGCAAAGTAAATATGGCCGATAATGCTTTTTGATATAACGCATAATGTCAACATTAGGTGCTAAAAAAACTAAAATCAACAAAGGCTTACAAAGCATGGTACCCTTTTTTGAACGGCCCGTTACTTGCAGGTGAGTGGAGCACAGTATCCGGTCTGAAACCGATGCAGCCAACAAAACGCGCTTCTAGCGGACGCGTGCTCGATTCCTCTTTGGCAGAATCGATTCCGACTCCTAGGCAGAGCGCATGAAGTCATCCCGACTCCGAATTTGAGCAGCGCAGCACAACTGTGAGTTGACTTCAATTCCGTCTGAAGGAAAACTGTTCAGCTGTGGAATCCATCCCAATGAGCCTTTTCCAACGGAAGGGTTACGTAAAGGCATCTGCAGTGCACCTGGCCCGGCCGCGCTGCTGCCCAATAACTGTTGCTTGCCATATTGAAGAGACACTAATCTTATAATCCGGAACTTTCTGAACAGTTCATTGACATTGACCGATCTTGGGCGAAAACTCGTGGACATAGAAACTGAAATATTCAACTGCCTTGTAAATCAATGACCCTTTTCGCACTTGCAAGGAGCAAATCGAAATCGCCGAACGCGGTGTCTTCCGAAAGTATTTTTAAAAAAAATTAAGTACGGGGCATTTCTTTCGATAGAACGAAAACTAAATATGAACAAATGTTATTTGGTGCACATGCGCGCATATAGATTTATGTATACATGGATATATAGAATAATACTGAATATATTCAATTTCGGAATAACCTCAGTGATGGTTTTGTGCCTTCGAGCCTGATTTCAGCTCTCGAAACAAATAATAAATTATTGAAATAAAAAGTAATAGCCTCAATTTTCGTAGAAATACCAGGAAAACGGAAATATAGATGCATTAATGTTTTGGAAACATGCCTTAAGCTACTTAACAACTTACATGGTTAATGCCACCCCGACTGCAACAACAATTCGATTGATTTTGATTTTTCCCGGCACCACCTGGACAAAGCAAGAATCTAGTTTCTAGTATGCATGTGACCACCAAAATCAAATGGTCAACTCAGCTAAGTGACTTGTAGTCACTTCAAAATTTCACTTGCATATAAGAAAATAGTATTGTGACGAAGTGCATCAAGGCAGCAAGGACACGGAATAGCTATTCTTAAATGTGCCACTGCCAAAAACGAAACATGATTGGGGCGACATGTAGGTAAAACCCATCAAGTTCTGCACATTAAATAAACTGCATCTAAATATGTCGGCATATGGCAGGAGTGTGCGTGGACCGGGTACAGCAAGTTCCATGAGGCCAAATCCCAAGTTATCATGCGACCATGCCAAAAAGGTCAAAGTGATTCTCCCACGCCCCAACCGCCAGCGCAAGTACCGGTCCTACCCTGGGGTCAGCTAACGCCGCAAGGCCTTCAGTCGGCTGAAAGTGCGTTGCCCGAATGACCTCACTCAGTTAGTCTCGCCCCTCACACTCACACTCCTCCTACCAGACGCATATGCTCGTACTCGTGCGTCCGGACCTCAGGCGCCCTCGTCTCCTCCCCGTTCGTCTTCGTGACCCCACTGCCACCGCACTCATACGCTCGCGACCCCTCGCTCCCCGCTCCCTCGGGGCGAGCTTGCGCTGCTGCGCCGACGAGCTGCGGGTCAGGCCGAGCGTGCTGAGCGGGCGGGGTCACCAGGCCTGCTTGGGTCACCGCGGCTCGCCGCCCGCTCCGCCGCCGTCCACGTTCACTAGGCGGAACGTCTCCAGAAACTCGTTGAAGTCGATGAAGCCGTCTTTGTTGATGTCCATGCTCTTGGCCATGTTGACCATCTCGTCGTAGGGGATCGGCTGGTGCAGGTAGTTCTGGAGCAGCGAGCAAGCGTCGGCGAACTCGTCCAGAGACAGGAACCCTGCCAGAGAGAAGACAGGCGCTGAGGTGGACCCGACTCAGGCTGGCCGATGCTGAGTAGGGCCGATGCTGAGTCAGTCTGACTCTAGTGACTCAGGCTACTCCAGAGGACGGCTGTTGTCACAGAAAACTAGATTACTGAGACACGCCGAGAAGGGCCAGAAAATGAATTCAGCGTAGTCTGTGTCATTGCCATGCATTTCCTGGTCCTGGAGTTATCGGGGAAGGATCGATGGAGATGCAACTGCACCTAGACGTCCTAATTTGCATATCATAGTTCACCTCCACTAATAATTTGCCACCACAGCATGATTTGGTCAAGGAATCTACAACACTGCTTTACAAGGAATCTACAACACTACTTTATGTTTTCTCATGACTCACATGGCTGCTCTAGACGACGCCGAAATTTACGACTTTGTCCCACTGACCAAGTTTGACCGAGCGAATGTCACTGAAACTCAAGCTAGCCGCCACAAATCCGATGCAGGTTTACGCGAGCACCCCGATGCTGCTTTTCGCTTAATGCAAGCGCATGTCGCGCTTTCGACAGCCCCTGAGGCGTTCAGCAAAGGTGACAAAAACGCCCATCCGGTGAGGTCCCAAATTTAAGTCAATAACTCACTTTCTTCTGGTAGCGTAGCCACGAGAGAGGGAGAGGGGGGGCCTAGGTTCATGTCCCCTCCTCTGGAGTGGGTTGGGCCGTTTAGGACTGAAGGCCACAAGCTTCTTTTTGGAATTTTAAGACGCCCTATGTCTTGTAAAACACAACAAAGCATAAATTGAAAAGGATCCAAAGCCTACACAGCTCCCCTAAATGCAGTAACAGGACCCCTGTGACGAGGAAGACGCTCCTGCGCTGGAAAGATCCATCTGACCCAATTTGACCTCTCCTGAGTCAAACCCGGCCCACATCACCAGTTTCTTGCCATTCAGAATATCAGATGTTATTCAGGACGCCCGTGGCTCATTCAGGTCCGTAACAGCACATTCCCATCCACCGACGCAGTGCTTCTCAAAGCTCACGTCCGTTGCATAGAAGCAGCTTTCAGGACGGTTCAACACGTCTAACATAACTACACGGCTGTGTGGGCGTGCCTCTGTTATGCGGCTGAGGGTTTCTGACAGGTGATTGCCTATTCATAGAGTTGTGGGGTGCTAGTTGTAAACGCGCGGACCAGCCAACGAGCGCTTTTGCTGATGCATTATGTCCGCAAAGTTAGACAGAAATGGAGGTGGACGCCTTAAGCTCACGTTCTGCCAAAAGCACACAGTTCAGGCGAATGTTCTTGGGACACTAATACTTAACAAGAAGGGTAACGAACTCCCTTCTAGTCCCATTCATAAGGCTTGAACTGAGGTAGCGCTAATTTATGAAAGGGCGTCATTGTCTACAGCGATGCGTTGGCTGGCGCGGTTGAAAGCATCACAGGAAGCTGGAATGAACACGGCGCATTCGGTAACACAGCACCTGAGGCTGACTTCGAGGAACAGCCAAGGCTCGTCCAGCTAGGGCAGGAATTAGCCAGATCCGTCACGATCTCACGTGGCTATGCAACAGGAGTATATCTTCTACTTCAGCAGACCTGCGAATTTCAATGGATTGCTGCATAGAATACGCTGCGAAAATCCGAACGGAGAAAAAATGTTTCACAGCGCTTCTCGTCTGTACCTAACGGTTCGCGCAGGCGCGTTCGCGACGCAGTCTCACCAGAGTGGTCTTTGTCGAGAATCCGGAATATAGTCTCCAGCCGCTCTCGGTTTCTGTACAGGGACTCCACCACGCTGGGGCTGTCCTGCGGGCGGGGCCGGCGAACAGTCAGGAAGCGAGTTTGCGGACCCAGCCCAGGCCCGCCAGTTGGTGGCTATGCCACCGACAACCGAGGCGTTGGGGGCTCCGCCGGCGGCGTGCGGCGGCTCGCGGGATCCAAGATCCAATGCCGTGCCATGTAAAAGCGCTCCGCCATCCTGCCGCAGCGACGCACTTGAGTGTATGTAGTGAGGTCAAGGTCAAAGCCGCGAGGTGTGTCGCAGCATCATTGACCGGAGCAGCGCGGCGGCGGCGACCCCGTACCGCTGCGGGTCATGGCGGGGCACGACACACCGGGAGACGTCGAGACGGTAACACAGAGCGACGGCTCAGACTCATCAGGCCATCACTCCGTTCCAGTAAACACTGAGAATATAACATGTGCTTCAGTACCTGCATATGCGAAAACGATTCAAATAGCCTGGAACTAACATAGAGATGACATCAAAGAGCGATTACTTAAACACATTTCACCGACGTCAGTCACTTTGCACTGCGGTTACAAATAGACTGGGGTAATATACATTACCGAAACCGCATGACTTTATCGTTGACTCCTCGGACAGCGCTTTACCTCGCTTTTCGTAGGAGAAACAGAGCCCACGAACGTGTCGGCGTAGACTATCTTCGAGGAACGCGAGTCCAGAGGCACGATTTTCTCTCGCAGCACGCGCCAGGGGATGCCGGGGCTGCAGTGGTCCTCCATGACCGCCACCCACTCGTGGACGGCTATCAAACCTGAGAAAAACGACAGAAACAATAAGTGATGGAAAGGCTTGAGACGGGACAGTAGTTCGACAGAGAGGCATCCCCAAAGCGCCGAAAAACCGATCATGCGGATCTTACAACTCGCAAATCTCTGCGGTTTATCCGCCAGCGAACTAAGTGCGAAGCAATGCATTGTAGTGCCATTTAATAATTGTCATGTAAATGGAAGTGAATGCGACGTGATATCATGTAATGAAATATGATTTGTCAATGTAATGTATTTCACGTTTGTAATTTACTGTGCGTTTACCGTATTTTGTTATTTGTCAGTCACCCGACGAAGGATTGATGCCCAAAATAAAGTGGCATTTCTTTACATATTTTGCATGACTTTCATTTTTCAGGCGCAAGTCGAGGCGTTTTGTGTATAACTACGTCACGACTCAAAGAAGAGCTGAAACTCATTAGTGACCGAATTTCGAGCCCGCACTAGGCTGCTCGGTTGCTGCCTGCAGCCTGGCTTCAGTCTGTCGCCGCTCACTCCAGTGTTTGTGGTGCGGTCACGTGATTTTTTTGTGGGGAGCTCTATCCCGAAGGCGCCTGCTTTCGTTAACAAGAGACTGACACACCGAGGCCTTCCTGCCGTCGCTTAGCTGTGTGCGGTGGTACCGAACAGAACCTCTTCGAGTAACGAGCAAACCCCGATCTCCAAGAAACGCCCTCTGAGTCCACTGAACTCCATTTGTAATTGCCTATCCACAAATTAGCTTCCTGGGTCCTGTCCTATGTGCGGCTGGGATTCCCTACATTCTAAGTGGAAACGCTCATCACTCCACTGTAAGGTTTCATCCTGAACTGGAAGCACAAGCCGGCCACGCACTGACCAACCAAGCAGGTCGATGACTGAGCCATAGTCGACCTAACCGGAACGTGCAGGCGTCAACCAGCATGGTCCAGTGACATCAACGTTCTTCACTTGTAATCCCGCCAGCCGCGGCGGTGGATTGCCAAAAAAGTGCCCCGAAGAGGCCAATAACCGTGACACGCCCGGCTGACACCGTTCGGCTGATATCAGTCCTGGAAGCTGTGAGCGAGCACCATAATCCTGACGTGGTAAAAAATCTGGACGGGTAATCGCTTTGTTGTACATGCGTTCAACTGCTTTCAGCTCCGGAAATTGCGTTAGAGCGGCATAGTCCTTGCCAATAACCGGTGGCCGGTTGAAAATAAATGGATGCATTGGACGAAGCAGACCAAATAACATTCTTTTAAATACCCAACGTTTTGCTCTGACAACTTGAAGTCATTCATGCACTGTGGAAAGCCACTTACCATGGGTTGACAGCAATGTCAAAAATGAGCAGGGCACAGGAGCCTTTATTTATTTTCTAAGCCTTTCATTACGTAATGTGGTGGCACACGACCAGCCTCATAACCAGGAGTGGCAGGAATGTGTGGCAGGATGGCAGGAAGCCATTCTTTTCCAACTCTTTCCTTATCAGACGAGCAGCAGCGTGCATGCATAAGATGGCAGCGGCTGCCCCGCTATCCCTCCCTGCTGCCCCTACCCCACCGCCGCCACCCCTGTTCCATCGGCGCACGCTGTACCGCCGCCACCGGTCACCTGAAGCACACTGTGCCGCTCTACACGCGGTACCAACTCCACTTGAAAAGGAACGTGGCCGACGGAAAGCATTTCTTGAATCCAGTGAATAGAAGTTGAGGCGCTATACACTTCTGAGTGATGTGGAGAGGTATTTTGAGAAGGAAATTTTGTTTTTAGAGTACATGAATTCTGCAAAGTTTTGCATTTGACAAGGCCATAATTTGACGCGAGAACTAACATGCGGCGCTTTCACTGTGACAGCGTTTTGGTCCTTAGCGTCACGGTCAAAGACATAGAACGAAATTCAGAAGGGATAATATTTCCGGTGTTCCAATCATGTTGAGGCTGAAAGCTGTCCTCAAGCACCAGCATTTTCAGTTTGTCTTAGGGCAAGTAAAATTAGATGCTTTGGCAGGTCCATTCCGTTCAACCAAAGGCGGCACGCACCTACAGAATCCATCGCGGCCAACGGGCCTAAAAGGTTTCACTCTATTTTAAATAGAGTTTCTTTGAAATACTCAGCAGGCAGGCAGTAAGAACACATACCAACAGATTATATAGGGGCCGACAGGAGCACCTTTGCGAATTGAATGACATTCGATGCCATGACCCAGTACAGAATACAGTCCATGACCTTCACGGTCATCTGGAATGCTATATCAGGTGCATGTGTCCTTGCTTGGCCGAAAAAGCTCCGTGTGATGCATGTGAGCATGTGGTGTAATATGTAATTGGTCCAGTTCATGGCTCGTATGGTCTTATCGGCAGTAATGCGCGTGTGCACACGCGCGTCGAAATCGCTTGCATATTCTTACAGACGAAACACCAAGAGAGACGGTGCAATGTCATGAAGCGAAGGAAGAACGGTAGATAACATTGTGCGGGCCGGTACAAAAACAGCCACAACAAACACGCCTCAATAAAGACGATGTGGTCTATAGCGTGCATCTATGGGCCATTGGGGAATATTTGAGAATTTCATCGACTGGCCAAATCCATGCGTATGCTTATATGAAATGGATCACGGCATGGGTTGGGTCTATATTTTGGGAAAATTACGGGTCTGAGCACGGGTATGGGTGAGATATTTTCAAAAGTTCTGTTAGTCATGTTAAGAAATTCTACACATTTTACTGCTGGCGCTTTTTGAGTCATAATAAACACCATTGACGCGACTGTTGAAATTAGCAACGCTAAGGGGTTGGCTGCGAGCTTCGCCAAAACTCTCCAATACTTAAGAAACACAGTATTGTTTGAATGCGAGTGGGTGGATAACGGTTGGGTACAAATGGTTAGGAATAGGCAGCGGGTGGATGTGGGCACATACTAATGGATAGAGCACAGATGGGCAAAGGAAGTCTTTGCGAAGAAGATCTCTGGTGGATATGCGCTCGAACAGTTATGGTATCTACCGCACTAGGCATTCATTAAAATTAGCATAACCGTGATATTTTTCTAAAACAAGCTTATTCCAACACCCATATCACAGCACGCTCCAGTTGTGAAAAATACCTTCACTAGGACGCCGAGTAAAGAATGCACTAAAACTCCCCTCCCTCCTTAACATGTCTTCTTCGTTGGCTACCGCAGACTGTTTTACACCGAAGATGCAAGCTGCTCAGTGCTGTCCATGCCACAGAAGCAAAAACCGCGCTTATTTTCCCAGCATGGTGATCGGGATCACGCTTTTCAGCTCTACGGAAATACAAGAAAAGTTTTCTGAAAGACACTGCGCTCTCAGAGTGATCTCAGACACGCTGAGAATGTTCCTTGCAGTACCATTTAGAGCTTAGCACCGCTCAGCACCGCTTAGGGACTGCTTATAGTATCATCCTAAGCCCAGTAGCATCTCCGCACTTGAGCACGCGACCACATGAGCTCCACCTGTTTCGGCTGGGTCGCGTCTGCTGAACTCATCCATTAGCGCCGCCTTGGAGGCGAGGATCTTCTTCCGAAGCTCGTTGAGGGCGGAGGCCTCTAGAGCGCCGACCCGCTGCCTCATTGGGATGTACTTGGCCTTGGTCTGGGCGTTGAACTGGACGAAGTGCGGCCGCAGCTCGGCTCCTTGCAGCACCACGTAGGCGCCGCGGTTGGAGCCGGGGCCGTAGTAGTTGGACGCTGAGAAGATGGTCAGGCACTGCGAGGAGCGGGAAGAGGTCAGTCGCGTGGCGTGGCCAATCGAAGAGGACCTCCGGCAGACGCTTCGGCAGAACGGGCCACACATTGGTCACACATAACTGATGAGCCATCGCTTTGGACAGGCAGACCACTAATAGGCATGAAAGCTGAGTAAATCTGTGGGGTGAAGATCCAAAGCAAATGCAGGAATTTGTATTGTAAGTCTGTCTGGCTGAATATGTAAATTTGTAAGTAAATCTATAGGCCGAATTTCCAAAACAATTACTGAACCCCGTGTTGACCCCGTGGAAGATATAGACAAAAATGTACCGAAATATAGGTCCTGAGAACTAAACAACAATGGACTTCCTTCGCGAGAAAATAAAATAGTAACAGTGCACCAGCGTCAAAGCACGCAACTCCAGTGATATATCCGACCAAATGTGTGGTAGGCGGATGTTCTGGCGACCGCTTTCACATCCCCTGAGAGTGATTGCGACACAGTTTTAATGGAGGAACTTCCTCGTCGCCTTGGGGAGCAGACGTCATCACACCGACAGCCTGGGGAAAACACCACGCTGTCACTGACTGGGTGTTTTCGGCTGGTGGTAGAAGCCATCAAAGTCCGTGTCGGCGAAGGCTTTCAGATAAACAGTGGGTAATCTCAGACGTCCCAAATCTTCCCTACAACCCCGCAGTATTTTCAGATCAGACGCCGAGTCATCCCATTCAACGCGTGACGCGTTCTACGCGAGGCAGTTCGAGAGGTCATTGGGGACGTTGGAAGTTTGGCCGCGCTGTGCTCAAGCAATAGGACCAGGCTGAGGTGCCCCGGACGTCTCCGTCAGCCGCCGGACACGGCTCCGTCAGCTGCCGGGCACGTCTCCGTCGGCTGCCGGGCACGCCTCAGTCAGCTGCCGGGCGCGTCTCCGTCAGCTGTCGGGTGCGTCGCCGTCGGCTGCCGGGCACGGCCTGTCAGCTGCCGGGCACGGCTCCGTCAGCTGCCGGGCACGGCTCCGTCAGCAGCCGGGCACGGCTCCGTCAGCTGCCGGGCACGCCTCAGTCAGCTGCCGGGAACGCTTCAGTCAGCTGCCGGCACGTCTCCGTCAGCTGCCGGGCACGGCTCCTTCAGCTGCCGGGCACGTCTCCGTCAGCTGCCGGGCACGCCTCAGTCGGCTGCCGGGCACGTCTCCGTCAGCTGCCGGGCACGCCTCAGTCGGCTGCTGGGCACGTCTCCGTCAGCTGCCGGGCACGCCTCAGTCAGCTGCCGGGCACGCCTCAGTCAGCTGCCGGGCTCGTTTCCGTCAGCTGCGGGGGGCGTCGCCGTCAGGTGCCGGACACGGTTGCGCCAGTTCAAACGTGGCGAGCGTGACGTCACGTGCCGCGGGACGCGAACAGCAGAATAATGCCGCGCTAGGAACGGGACCAAATGACATACAAGTGCGTTCCGGGGGTTACCCTATCATAATTGACTCATTCAATCGCGTAGATTCACCGACTCTAGATTCGCTGAGTCGTCGTAGTCGGAGAGGAGCTTTGAGATCTGGTGCAACGAGGACACGGTACAAAACGGCTAAAAACGTGCTCACTTGTCGCAATGACTGGCGGACCTTACATTCAGAAGCAATCTGAAAGGACCGTCACGAGACAGGAACCGTCTGCTGCTCTAAAGAAGATGTTCAAGTGTTCTTCAGTTCCTCAGGAAATGCCGGAGTCTCCTGGCAGCCGTGGGAGCAGCCACATCCCAGATACTTGGGAGGGGGGAGGGGGAGGGGCAGAGTCTGAGGGCCTTTTGCCGCGCTAGCCCAACGCCTTTGCGGCATGGAACGAGTGGCGTGATGAGGTATGTAAATGATGCTATCGTGCAGATGACGATAAAACACGGGCAGATGGAGCTAGCCGCCTCTGCAAACCCGAACAATAGGTCGTATCAATGCATTGGGCGTCCCTCTTTCGTGAGCTTAGCGATCTGGGGATTACTGATCTGTATCGCTGCCGCGCAGATTTTCAAAGGGCTGCTGGAAAACGGACCGGCCTTGTGTTCGGTAGTGCTCTTCAGTCTGGTCCACCAAATCGATGATTTTAAAGTGGTTTATGTTTTCGGTGCCTGTGGGGAAAATGCTGTAAACCACGGATGCCTTCTACCTGGGGCGGATCCTGGTTTTTGGACCGTCTTACGCCTGCCTAGATCTCATAGCCCTATCCATTCTATTTACGTACAAAGGGGTAATACAGCCGCATGGTCGGGTGATGAAACTACACAATTTGCGGTTAATTAACGTTATTGCAAGATCAGCACGCCGCCTAGCCTACCGAAATGTGTCCTAACAGCGAAGGTGAATGCTTATTTGACGAGCGATGTCGGGGACAGAGGCTGATTCGGGGAAACATAGACAACATGCCTCCCAGCTTCCACGGCTGGATATGCCCACACTCGCGTGGACAACGGAAACACTTCTATGATAACAACTAGTCGCAAAATGAACGCCGTCAATAGGCAAGCGTCCGAGCACCACGCACTGCACACACATACATAATGATAATGAGGACCTGGTGACGCTAAAAGCGAGGTGCCAACTGCCTGAAGGGCTGGATATCGACCACGCGCGGCCACCTCGCCCAGCCAGCAGCCGCCCGTACCTTGTCGTCGTGCGTGTACTCGTATCCCTCCGCCTTGCACTCGTGCGACCGGATCAGCAGGTCGAGGTCGTTGATGCGCAGCAGCTTGTGCGTGACGTCGGGGCCGAAGTAGCAGCCTCCGCCGCGGAACACGTTCGGCTCGCAACCCGGCGTGCTCTGCGGGTCGCTCCAGAGCACGTCCAGCACCTGGCGGCGCCGGCCGGTCTGACGTCAGACCGTGGAGTGTGGCGTCATACGCGGCGTGCTCCTGCGGGCCGTTTCAGAGCACGTCCAGCACCTGCCGGCGCCGGCCGGTCTGACGTCAGACCGCTGAGTGTGGCGTCATACGCGGCGTGCTCTGCGGGTCGCTCCAGAGCACGTCCAGCACCTGGCGGCGCCGGCCGGTCTGACGTCAAGATCGCTGAGTGTGGCGTCATACGCGGCGTGCTCTGCGGGTCGCTCCAGAGCACGTCCAGCACCCTGCCGACGCCGGCGGTCTGACGTCAGACCGCGGAGTGTGGCGTCATACGCGGCGTGCTCTGCTGGTCGCTCCAGAGCACGTCCTGCACCTGCCGGCGCCGGCCGGTCTGACGTCCAGACCGCGGGTGTGGCGTCATACGCGGCGGGCCGGCGTCGATACGGGACGGCAACGGCGCAGAGGTCGGGTCCGGTTGGGGGCGCGCCGCCGGCCGGCCGAGCGGACTGAGACGGCCGTCATCGAGATTGAGTCCTCGGTAGATGGCTAATTTTGGACGGCGCCACTAATTCGGTGTGTCAATCAGGTGACGGCAGAGCCGCCCACTCCGCGCCACCAGGGGCCGAGCGATTTAGTGGAGGACATACGGCGGTGACGTCAGCGCACCGACGGGCGTGCGGCAGGCCCACGTCGGCCACGGGCTGCATGGTCAGATACAACGGCAAGCTGGGATCACCTTGCCAGATCTCAAACGCGAGGATCATTTGAATAACTACCTAGCCGGCTTCAAACACGGACAATAACCGTCACCATCCCATTGATTTCTAGTACGACACAGGCCGTGCTGCAGATCCTCCGACTGGCTTATCGTTGGCAAACATGGGCTCAAAGCAATGATAAATGCACCCAGGGGATTTTGATATTTTAGGATATCATTGTGCCTTGATGACCGTCCTTCTGGCGCATATTTTCACGATTCTGTCACGTGATAAATTGTATCCTGTCATAATTCTACTATCCCTTGAACCACCACATTTCTTGCCGAGCGCGACCACCCCGGGTGAAATGGACATATGCCTAGCTTGCTGGTGACAAGACCGCAGTAAGGGCTCCGCCGGGCTGCGGGAACAGACCGCAGCAAGGGCTCTGCCGGACTGCAGGATCAGACCGCAGTGAGGGCCCCGCCGGGCAGCGGAACCAGCCCGCAGTAAGGGCTCTATCGGGCTGCGGAACCAGGCCGCAGTGAGGGCTCCGCCGGGCCGCTGGACGAGTACCTGCTTCCAGCCGATTCTGTGGCGCATGTGGTCCGTGGAGCTGGTGTTGTCGTGAAGCCGCTCCGGCATTCTCAGCACAGAGGAGTACTGGAACAGGTGGGACGGGTCAGAAGACTCCAGACTCGCACCGGTTCGCTGGCAATGACGGCGAGCCATGGGAGCTGCCATGCACTGCCGGCCCTGTGACAAGCTAGGGAGGGCTTCGGCGACGCTCCTCCAGCGACGCGAGACATCCTCCATTTTCCACGAAGCAGTGGTTTACGTCAGTTTCCGGAGATAAATAAGTTCAAAAGCTGCGCGGAAATTAAAAGCAACAGAGGTGACGCATACTCCGGAATTACTTTGTTTACACGAAACTGTGCGCAGCAAAATTGAGAGAAACAAAAAAGGCCCAGACTTCCTCACTAGGTGTATCATTAGTGCGTGTTCTTGAAGGATGCTGGACTCCCAAATGGTGTCAGGCAAGAACCCTTAGGCTTCCATAGTGTTCCGAATGGCATAATGGCACGCACTTCCAATAGCTGCTCCCACGAAGCTTTCCCATCGTAGTGAACGCACCCAACAGCTGCGCTGGTAACATTTTTTTTGGAAGCGCATGCATGCGCGCACCGATAGAAAGCTCCGGGGGAACGTTGCGAAAATTCATCCACGAGAAGCTTTTTCAGAGATACAGGTCATTTGCGAAAAAACACTTTTGTGACCAGTAGGTTACGGGAGGGTTATACTCAAGTCACTCAATCGAGCATGTTTGCGGCGGCGCTGGCTGCCCAGGCGAGCGAACATCGCGGGGGTAACCTGGCGCGTCCGAGACCACCCCGTCGCTGATTGGTTGAGGATCAGCCGGGCCCACGTAAGCCGATTCCCAGCTGGCGGCAGCGCACCGCGATAATGGATCCGAACAGGACTGAGTCGCGCCGGGACCCCGACCAGCAGATCCCAGGAGAACAGGCCCTAGCCCGCCGCCCGCAGTCTTCAAGGGCAGACGGTTGTGGTGTAGAAAGAGCCAAATGGACGGCGCTTGGGCAAGAAGAACCACGCAGGGAATGGAGAATAAACCAGAACTTTTCAAACCTAATGAATGTGTAGACAGATAGACATATACATATATATATATATATATATATATATATATATATATATATATACATATATACATATTCTATATATATATATATATATATATATATATATATACATATGTAAAATGAAGCTATATGTATAGGTATATATAAAGATACATAAATACATGCATACAACATAGAGGCTATATATGTACAGCTATATAAATAACATCATGGAGCTATATATATATATATATATATATATATATATATATATATATATATATATATATAGATATAGCTATGTCACCCGGAGAGCTTTACGAAACAATCCAAGCAATCAGAGACAACTCGATTTATCAGAGCACGGACACCGGCCAAGCTCCTAACATGTAGGCAAAGGTGAAAAACCTCGTCAGCAAGATGTTTAGAATTGCATACGAACGCACCAGACGCACGGCATGGTGGCAACCAATCCTCTGGCAGACAGCCTTCAGGGAAACCCAAAACTTCACAAGAAGGGATTGCCTCTTCGGGCCATCGTCAGAGGCAGAGATCACGCGACAAAGCGCCTGGCTGAGCGTGCGGAAGAAGAACGGCAAATTAGTGTGGAAAACCAATAATTCTTCATCCGTGATACACCACACTTTTTCCGAAAACTTGAAAAGTTGTCACATTCGATCAGGTCTCATAATGAGTGCATCCTGATCTCTCTTGCATGGACGTGAGCAAACTTTTCCCCAGTGTACCACAGCGGGAGGTATTGCGGCGTGCCAATCGCTCGTAACCAACGCCAATCGCCAAAAATTCCAACGGAAAGCGTATACAAACTACTGAGCTAGTGTTAAGGAACAACAACTGCAACCTGGGTTCAAACGCGCACTTAATGCAAGCTGAAGAACCACCAGTAGGCTCGAAATTGTGGAAAATTTGTGAGCGCGTATTTGAAGGCATAGTTATCAGAGCTTGAACAAAAATCGGACTCAAACCGTTAGCTTACTTTAAATATATCGATAACATTTTTTTGGTATGGCTGCATGGTGAGGAGGCATTAAAAAAGCATCATGGTGTTGCAAACAACGTGCTCACGAAATTCAAGTTGACCTTCATTATTCCAAAACTGACATGCAATTTTTAAATGTAATTGTTAGACTAAAAGACGGCCATATCCAAGTTAATTTATTTTCAAAGCTATTCGAAGGCAAAAGCTACCACCATTTTTCATCACATCATCCTTAACACTGGGCGCACAATGACCGCGGATGTCAACGTGCCCTTAAGCCCAAATAATAACAACGCCCTCCTTACCACACGGCAAAAATGATGTCATATCGTGCATATACGATATCATACCATTTTGTTATCAATTATATCATACCATTTTGTTATCAATTATATCATACCATTTTGTTATCAATATATCATACCATTTTGTTATCAATTATATCATACCATTTTGTTATCAATTATATCGTGCGTAAACGAGAACGTGAAAGCTAGGCCTTAGAAACAAGGACATCCCGGCAGAGGGATTAATAATAGCTTCAGTAGGGTGGGCAAATTTGACCGCGAACAACTTTTTCGCAGCAGCAAACAGAGCAAGATTTGACGGAAGCATGTTTTAGTATATGCACATATAATTTCTTGTACGTATGATCAAGCCGTTGGATTGTAAAACAAGCCGAGTTGTGTATGATGTTCATTGTGATGTGTGTGAATGTGTACGTTATATCGGGAAGTCAGGGGAGACCCGTTCAGCAAACCAGCTATCGGTCAACAAGACCATTGGTGGACTTTCCCGTATCCATCCACTTTACCTCACTGGGCCACTCAATGACCGTAAAATTTGTTGACTTGGAGGGGGTGTGGAGCAAAACTGCGATTTATAGGAAGCTCAGAGAGGAGAGCGAGAAAACAATGGATTATTAGGCTGGGAAAATTGCGCCTTCAGGTGGTACTCGCCTCAAAACAAAATCTAATGTGCAAATGTGTCACGGAAGTGAACTAGAAGGGGGCAATCCCACAACCCAATGCACACTGCGTCGATTATTTGTGTTACGAAAGGACGTGGAAAAGGACCGATTGTTCAGACTGAAGCAGATTCAAGTAGAACTGAAGCCTCTGATGGCAGAATGCTGATATATATATATATATATATATATATATATATATATATATATATATATATATATGTAATATGAAATGTGAATCCAAATATATGTGACTAAAACTATGTATATATATACATATATTTATATTTGAATATACACACATTTATCTATATAGTGTATATATATATATATATATATATATATATATATATTAATATGATACTATCTACTATATATATTATATATATATCTATCTCTCTTCTCTCTCTCCTCTCTCTCTCCTTCTCTCTCTCTCCCCCTCCATCTCTCTACTCTCTCTCTCTCTCCTCCCCTCTCTCTCTCTCTTCTCTCTCTCCTTCTCCCTCTCCCTTCCCTCTCCCTTCATCACAGCTCTCCCTCTCCCTTTCTCCCTCTCACCTTCTCCCTTCTCCCCTCTCCTCTCCTCTCTCCCCTTTTTCTCCCCCAGCCATCTCCCTCTCCCTCTCCCTCTCCCTCCCTCGCCCTCGCCCTCGCCTCGCCTCGCTCGCCCTCGCCATCGCCTCGCCCTCGCCCTCGCCCTCGCCCTCGCCCTCGCCCTCGCCCTCGCCTCGCCCTCGCCCTCGCCCTCGCCCTCGCCTCGCCCTCGCCCTCGCCCTCGCCCTCGCCCTCGCCCCGCCCTCGCCCTCGCCCTCGCCCTCGCCCTCGCCCTCGCCCTCGCCCTCGCCTCGCCCTCGCCCTCGCCCTCGCTCCCTCGCCCTCGCCTCGCCCTCGCCCCGCCCTAGCCCTCGCCACTCGCCCTCGCCCTCGCCCCGCCTCGCCCTCGCCCTCGCCCTCGCCCTCGCCCTCGCCCTCGCCCTCGCCCTCGCCCTCGCCCTCGCCCTCGCTCGCCTCGCCCTCGCCCTCGCCCTCGCCCTCGCCTCGCCCTCGCCTCGCCCTCGCCCTCGCCCTCGCCCTCGCCCTCGCCCTCGCCCTCGCCCTCGCCCTCGCCTCGCCCTCGCCCTCGCCTCGCCTCGCCCTCGCCCTCGCCCTCGCCCTCGCCCTCGCCCTCGCCCTCGCCCTCGCCCTCGCCTCGCCCTCGCCTCGCCCTCGCTCTCCTCTCTCTTCTCTCTCTCTCCTCTCTCTCTCTCTCTCTCTCTCTCTCTCCTCTCTCTCTCTCTCCTCTCTCTCTCTCTCTCTCTCTCTCTCTCTCTCTCTAGTAGTTTGTGACAAAAATTGACGGATGTTTCGCTTTTGTACCTTAATTGTAGCCACAAAGGCACGCACGTTGCGGGTTTCATCAGTCGATTAGCATTTGATGAATTTACCAATTCTGTCTCAAATATGGTAGGAGTTTTCAAAAATGTTTTTTTAATGTTTTGTGATGGGAATGACCCGTTTTTTATCACAATTCGCAAGATGAGTGCGATGGGCTCCCAAATACTAAACGACTGTGGCGGTTAACCCGTCCTTAAAGTCCCGAACATTCGAATACAGTTCTTCTATCTATCGCTGAGCTAAGCAACGCCTCGCATGCCGCCACCGCCGCCAGACAGCAAAACACACGCACACCTCCTTCCCTCGCGGCGTGCCCTCCCGGACACCTGACCTTAGCCGGCGACAGACCTGTGTCGGTCGATGGCCTCCAGGCCGTGCAGGTCTGTGTCGAACGACACGCCGCCGTGCACCACGAGCACGCGCCGGTCGATGATGGTGCCCACCGGCAGCCAGGAGAACACCTCCTCGAGGAGCGCCAGCAGTGCAGACGAGTGACCCTGCAGCAGACAGCCGGCCCGGCCGGCAGGGTCAGGCACCGCGCACCGGCCGACGCGCGGCGGCAACCAGCGCACGGCAATGATCCAAACATGGCAAGGCGGGGGGGAAATGGGAACGGGGTGCCGTGGCAGAGGGGGGTCTGACACCCACTGGCATGAACGCATAGCTAGACGCGTTCTTAA